TTCCCTTTATTGTTGCTTTATTGTCTTATTTATTATTTGGTGGCTGTCATAATTTTTGATATAATAGTTGTGACTTATTCACACTATATACATTTGGCTTCCGCAACATTGACAAGAAAGATAAATATTCTTCTTGGAGCTAAGCTTGATCTGGAACTATTTTCCGTCAAATTAATTAATATGCTAGGACTACATACTTCATAGACAAAAAACATAAATATACCAAGGTTGGTTTTGAGGTCAATATTGGAGGGCCAATGGTTTTTTTTCTTTTTTGGTAGGGAGGGCCAAAAAGAATTGACGTATTTCTCTTAATAAAAAGTCATTGATTTTCTTCATAAATACCATTTAAAAAAGAAAAGGAAAACAAAATAAATGAGAAAAGACAGAGAATTTCGCCAACCGAGCAACAAGAATACTATTGACCAAACGTATCATTGCACTTGCATACTAATCAAACAGTAACTAGAGATCTGACTTACGAAATTTCGTGCTACAGCATTCAAATAACTTAAAAATCGGGAAAAAAGAACATAAAATATATGGTTCTCCTAGCTAGGTGCAATTTGAAGTCACAACTATATTATTTGTTCTAGTTCATAGAAATTAAACATACTACTATAGTTTTGCGTATTAATTCAAGGCAGGTCATGTCCAATTGCTGCATCACCTCCTTCAGTTAGGTCATGACCTGCACCAAGTTCAGCATTAGCATCAGGATTATTGCCACCATTGTCACCAATATTAAAGCCTCCTCCAATGCTGGAACCAAATCCAGTGCCAGCTCCAATGGTACTTGTTCCGCCACCTCCAATAAAAGGACCAAAACTACCTCCAAACCCACCAACACCTGCTCCTAAACCAAACGGAGGCCTTATTCCACCTCTAAGTCCACCAAAACCACCAAAAAATGGTGGTAAAGGGTGCCGAAAATATTCCTTCTGCTCATCTGCTGCTGATTTTGCCTCCATTAATGCTAGGTTCCTCGCGTTTGTAGGGTAAACAAGAACACTGGTGATCATAAGAACGATAATGAGAATCTTGGTTGCCATTTTCGATCTGTAGTCGTATAAACTAAGAGAGAGAAATTATGTTTTGAGTGTGAGAAATTTGGGTTTGTAACCTGAAGTTATATAGGTGTGGAGAAATTGATACAATAATGAAGAATGTTAAAGGTAGGAACATCAGTAGCTCATGCATATAGTGCATACATTCATGTATTAGAGAAAGGAAAGAGAAGAAGCCAACTACATCGATCCTTTCATAAATATACCTTAATCAACACCTTCTCAATTTCATGATCAACCTAAGTCTAACACACAGCAAACAAATTACAACTTAACATTCAATTTTTAGGAAGATAGCTAGTCATGGATTCATCATATATAGTGAAAATACTAGTACTTGTCACATTCTTTGTTACGTAAAGTATTACGTACAATATTTTTGCTAGACCAATTATTAATAGAGAAAGACAGAAGAAAGTATAGTAGAGAGACGTCAAACTTTTCCGGTGGCAGACCGCGGTCAACTTGTTTTAGTTTACATATATCAAGACATTTTGCTTCTTAGCTATTAATAAGTCTAGAATTATGCTGAGACGTAACCATAAGAATGAAGCTTACGTGCATAATATGAATTTGAAACAAGTCTCAGGTAGATTAGAAAACTGATTTAAGTACAAATTGAGTTCTAGCCCAGCTCGGTAGTTTGATTCCACTTACAAAACAAAAAGGTTAATTACTTCCTTGGATTAGTCCACAAAAAAAGTGATCAAAGAGAGTCAAATAAGGATTAAAAGAGTTTTTTTTCTCTCTCCCTTTCTCTTCAGGGATTAGAACAGACCAAAAGATTCTAAGCAAGGGTGAGGTCAAGAGAGAGATTATTGACATCAAAACTGGTAGATGGCTCTAAAGACATGGTGCTACTGGAGAAATCTTCCTCTTCTGCAGATGGACTCTTATTTGACAAACTGCTAGCTTCTCCTACCACTTTATTCCCGTTGCCAGTATCCTGCCAAAAGCAGAAGAAATCTAGTAATTAGTTAAGTGGTCATAGGTACCAATCCTATCATGCTTCCAAATTATTGTATCAAGTTAATCAAAGAATTATAACATATAAAAAGCCAAAGATTTCGTTAGTTACTTGAACACTGCAGCCATTGAAGAAATCCCTGAACATGGTGCAATTATTAGACTTTCCTTCCAATTCCATCATCTTATTTTCCATGGTCTCTTGCATATGTTTCCTGTTCAATTATTGTTTATGCGTAACCAAGAAAAAAAATGGACCTAATTAAGCAAGAGTTTTCACACGGATTCACACAATAATCTATATAATTTGACATATGACTGTTATAATCGGTTGTCCGTCTTATTTTTGTCATTTTAATAATTCCACCTATTAAGGACAGCTTGCCAGTTATTCCAGTAATTATTGTGTACTTGAAAAATTAAACGAATTCATAGAAGGAAAAAAAAAGAAGATTTGACTGTCAAGAAGAGATGTGGTGGGATGGAAGAGATCCCTCCGCTTTTATAACCAAAGGTCTCGAATCATGAGAATGAATTTGTCGTAAAGAGTGTTTTCCCTTACGCGGCACGACTCCAAATTAGCCAGATCAGACCAATGGGTACCGAATGGTTTAAAAAAAAGACATTGAGAAGTTAATTAGACGAACCAAGGAGGAGGCAAAATAGTAGGCGCAGAGGCAAAGTCCGCATAGTTACTGCATGTTACTGTACTCGACGAATGGGCATCAAACAAGGCTTTGTCATAATAGTAGTGATGATAATTCATTTGCTCTGGACCATCCATTCTATTCCTTTTACTCCCATTTGCGGCTTCTGCTTCAGCTGCAACAAAACAAAAATATTAAAGTCAAATGAATTATTATTAAACAAAAATATATTTGAATATGATCTTACCTCTCTCATATTTAATTCCTGAATTTATGCAGATTCTTACTTTCTAGATTTCGTTCTATATGATGTTTACTTATTTTCACACTTGGGTATAACGTTTTCAAGATAAATGCCAAACTACTGTTCCCCATACATCAACATTAAATACAGACTTTATTTATACCCTGGGAAAGAATTTCCATTCATATTCAGAAAACAGGAAATTATTATTTAAAATGGATATTATATTGGTTTTCAAAGTAAATGTTTTATTTTTAAGTAAATGCACTAATTCAATTTTCACTCGTTTGGACTTAACTCGTACCATATATATGCGTTAAAAAAAAAGTCAAAGAAGAAGAAAGTATATATGGAATAAGAGTCATTCACCCAAACACATTAATTTCAAATTCTGAATTCGCATTCTATTATATGAACACTTTCGTTATGCAACGACCACCACATTGGCTATGTCTTGCACATATTTTAACTCTTCAAAATAAATTCTACCCAAATCAAAAACGATGAAAATGGGAATTAAAGGGAATTCTCAATTTTGGCCTTGCTAGCCAACAGTCATATACTACTACGAGTTCTAAGGGCCTTGCGCTTTCAGTAACTACTAAAAGGCGTTATCCTATGGAATATAACTGGAGTGAGCAAAGCACAAATAAGGGTCAAATAAAACATCAAAAGATTCCTAAAATGGAATTCTCTATCTTTTCTTGATTGCATCATTAGTCACTATTTTAATTACTTTTAGTATTATTTAATGATGGATAAGACGTATGGTATTCAATTGACTCTGTTTCTTTGGATTATAAAATCAAGCTTCAAGCCAGTCAAGCCTTTAAATTCTTCCGTTTAAGGACTATAAATTTTATAGAAGAAGCCCAAATAAAAGATAAGTTAATTTTTGCCGAACTCCTTCACATATATACTACGACATACACAAACATAAAAAGTACAAGGAAACTTGAGTTTGATCCAAAGTTGTAAATCCATACCTTGTATCATCTGTTCATGCTTCATGCTTCTGTACATCTACTCATATCAAAATAAATCTTAAAATTAACTACATAAACAAAACAAAATAGAGAAAACAAAAAAGGGACAAAACATGCATTTCCAAAGTTTTCTTTAAGAAAGCTTTCTCTCTAACCTGAAGGTGACTCTTTACGTGAGATATGGTCAGGCCTTTCACATCCATTAATTGTAGCACCATCTTTGGAGTTGCTCCTAAATTAAATACAACAATCAAAAAATAATAGCCAAGAATATTTAGAAACGTAACTAGCTCTTTTCCTAGCTACCTAATGGATACTTTTCTCCTTAACTTATCATTGGTCCACTCCCCTTTTTAAAGAATAATGTAAAAATTTTCTTAAGAAGGAAAAAACTGACCCCTTTTCATGCACTTCTATATATAGCTAGTTCATTCAATGCATGTAATTTTCATGCAAGAAAAGGGAAAAAAGAGAGAGAGGTGGCGTACGATCTTCTCCACCAAGTCTCTCAACAGCATGCACAAAGCTGCGATGAAGATCTCGTGTCCACCGAAGTCTCGGCATTTTGGATCTAACATATGGTCTTACCCCTCCAGATTTATTGCTATGATCTTTTAAGTTATTTTCAATGGATAAAGAAGGAAAACTTTGTGAAGAACTTTCAGATAATTCTAGCGGCTGTTTCATCATGGTAAAAAGGAGGAGTTGGGAAGATGTAGGTAGGCTGGGGAAAGGAGTTATATATGGTCTATGCTACAACAAAAGAGAATAAATATTTGTGAGTCTGTTGTCATATTTTGTCTACTTCTACAGGCTTTAAGAAGATAGAATTTCTTACAAAAATTTGAGTTCTTAGAGAGTTTAATTTAGTCCACTGAATTTTTGATTATGAAGCTGAAAATATTTCACGGAATTTCAGGAACTCTAGTGAGATATTCAACCATCGCACTCATTATTGTATGAAAATAGTGTGAGAGTACTAGAAGAAAATGAAAAAGGAAAGAAATAGTTCCGCAGAAAAGATTCTAATATATTGATGATAGTGTTATTTTTCAGGACATTCGTTTGTTTGAAGTCAGTATCAAAACATTCTTGTGCCCTCATATGAGATATATCTACCAAGAAATCAGAAGGGGTATTAATGACTATTCACTGGCTGCTGGTTGTTTAACTTAGTAATGATCGACCTCATAAGACTTGCTAAAAGACAAGTATGAGAAAACCTCTTTTGGCATTTGGTGAGGCCTTCTGAAGTCAGTTACGAAAAATTAAGACTTGCAAGCGTGTATACAAGTGTTTGTTTCTAAGGTTTTAATATAGCTTTAATTTCTGAGCATGACTTGTTATCTCCTCTTTCCTCTTGCCTCTTGGTGCGTTCTGAATTCTTAACTCTGCCTAGTCTCTATTACTATATTTTTGGTAAAGATAATTTGACTGTTACACTTGGGGGCGCAAAAAGGTTAAAAGAAAAAAATAGGTTGAATAATGAACTTTTTAAAAACGGATCAATTATGGATAAAAATCATATTCTTCATTTAGAAAAAAATGAATAACCAATGGATAATTAATGAGTTTAACTTTTATATTTTTAAAACCTCAAATTGGGGATTCTTCAAGTTTGGGAGACTAGAAATTCTCCCAAAAGTGATCATATTCATGTAGCCATGGAGGCATGGATAATATGGTTATCCATATTATCCGCATGTTAACTTTTTTTTTTTTATCCATATTAAATATGTGTCGGGTCGGATAATTTATTCGTTTTTTCATTACCCGTTTTCGACCCGTCTCATATCCTTCCCGACCTTCCTAAGTGCCACCCTTAGTTACACTTGTAATAACAAAATTTAAAACCCTTAGTTACACTTGTAATAACAAAATTTAAAAAGTGCAAAACGTCATACTAACTCTAAAGTTTGAATTACTCAAATATTTGTATAGTTATCATATTATCTCGAAAATGTGTTTCTAATTAAACTAGATCAAGAAAAGAACTTGTATGAAGAACGTCGGGGATTTTTTCAAGTTTAAATTCCAATGTTAGGATATAGAAGTCAAGTGTTGGTACTAAACTTCCAAAATGGTACTAGTATATATAGTTAATTAGCTTATTTAACCTTTAATAATTTATTGTTTGATTCCCACGGGGACAATCCAATAACCAAAAGACAATAAGTGGAACCACTTGTACGAGTTTAAATTAAGATTTGAACCTTTTGTTTACTTAGGCAGTTCTTCCTCTGTATGCTATATATAAACATAAATAGACCGATAAAGTAGGAGCTACTTTAATTAGAACTGCTTTGGATGTTACTAGCTTGGATAACTATGCTACTATTAACACCTCTTTCATAATGATAAAATATTACTTATATACTAATATTTTCTTTTTTAGAAAAACAAAAAAACGCACAAGAGTAACCTTCCTTGTTGGGAAGTTGGCAGAGATAATTTAATTAGCTTTATTTTATGAACAAGAATGATGAGTAGTGAAATGAGGCCGAATAAGGAAAAGATGAGGCTGACATAGGCAAATGTATGTCCTCAAGGAAACATACCAAATCTCCCACAATTCTCTAATTCCGCTTTCCGGAGACCATGACCCCCTCTCATCTGTATAGTTAGCTTTACTTTTATTTTATATTTTATTTTTGCTTAGGACATTATTTACGTTACTCTGGCTAGACAGAGCCAATGAATATTGACGTGCGATGACACATTCAAAAGTTTCTTTATATGTGGCTCATTCGTGATAACTACTTCAAATGAATAAGGAGACCGTTCATTAAGATTTTAACATACCAAAATATATTCGTGGTATTTTTAAACGAGGACACGTTAAACTATTCACGTCATTATTGTCCGGACTTTGGATATGATCTTATAATTTGTGGGGTGGGTGCAAAAATTCTAAATGTCTTACGTTGGCAGTATGGTGGAAAGGATGGAATTTGAGAGAAATCCATTCCCAAATTCCATTCACGGCCAAAGATATGGCCGAATGTAGCCAAAATATGGTACGTATGTGGACAAAAAATTAGGGATGAAAACGGGAATGGAGTGGTTTTAGAAAATAGGGGGAATATTCTCTTCAAGGACTAATTGGCAGAGACATGGACAAGTGTTTGGAATAATTCATAAGCATGAATAATAGACACTCGAGAAATTTGAGAATTTTCGCATTGCTTTTGGTTCTTTTTTTCTTTTTATCGTTATTATTAGAGTTGTTTGAATTATGGGAAAGAAGCCAAATGGAGGAGTAGACGTCTAGCTGGGTGGAAAGTGTGAACAGAAAAGCAGATTTTTGAATGAACGAACGCAGAGAATGAGAAAAGCCAACTTAGCCATGATTTCAGGCGAGAGAATACATATATGCTAGCTAACGTTAACTTGAAAATCTTTAAAGACCCTCTGCACGTACTTCTTTCACAAGTTCCAAAGTAATTTTAGATGACCAAGTTGCAAAAGAATACATCTATTTATAATTTGTTTAACCGAGCTCCGATCCTGTATGAATACGGAATACTTTCTGTACCAATTTTCCAAGCCTCTATTTAATTCCTTTTCATATTTGCGATTATGATTCCTTTGCATGTCACCCGAATAAAAAAGGAGTTAAACTTTTATGTACTGCTAGTGAAAGAAAAAAGGTTTCTCACCGTGAAGCCATACAAAAGCAAATTACAGGTCATTCGTTTTCTAGCAATTATTAATTGACAACCTGCAAAAGATAGTAAATGAACGGAGAGGTCGTTTGGCTGAACAAATTAGAAGTATTTGATAGTCATCAATAGTTAAAAAAATACTTTTTAAGTGCTAAAACTAACTTTATAAATAAAAAGATAAGTGTTAATTAAACTAACAATAATCCCTTGGTATATTTGGTTTTATTAAAATGCTTTAAACTTGTTTGCAAAAAAATCTAAATTAGAATATTTTTATACGGAAAATGATGGATGACAGAAATGGAATGGAATGCGAGTAGGGATGGGCATTCGGGCAGTTCGGATTGTATATGAGAATTTCGGTTTTCAGATTGAAGAAATGACAATCCAAATCCAATCCAAATAAGTTCGGATTGGATAAGATATTTTTAGTTAGGTTTCGGATTAATCGGTTTGGATATTATGAATTTTCAATTTTGAGCGTATAAGTTGAGATGTTTCATACTTTACAAAAATGAATATCCAAATGAAGTATTCACGTTAAATTGCCTGAAAAAGTCCTCATTCTTGCCGTAATCATCCAAATAAAATATTCAAGTAATGAAATTATTATTAAAACAAATACAATGAAGACATTAATATGACCGATAAGAAGTAGCAATAGTAAAATCTTGTCCAAATAGAAAGTATTCTGATAGTAACTTAGTAATTAGTATTGAATATATGAGATAATATCTAACGGGTAGAGTATTAAACTTATTACTTATTAGCAGAGGAAGCTTGGAGAAGAAATTTCTGGAATTGAAGAGTAGCTCAAAATGAGCTAATTGAGGACAAGACTACCGACTATATACACCTCTAACTAACAATTAGTAATCACTAAGTAACTAAAATAACTCTAACACACCCTAACTTCTAACATGTACAATTAGGTCCTCATATCTTACTAACTTCCAAACTCTATACACTTAACTATAAATTCCAATACTCCCCCTCAAGCTGAAGGGTGTGAAATATTTAACACACCAAGCTTGCTAAGTAGAAACTGATGCTAAGGTGATGCCAATCCTTTAATGGGTATGTCTGCCTGTTGATTTCGTGTAGATACATATTATGTTTGTAGCATTTCTTGCTTAAGCTTCTCCCTGATGACAATCTATTTTAATATGTTTTATTCGTTCATGAAAGATGGGATTAGCAGCTATTTGAATTGCTGCCTTACTGTCTGAGAATAGGATAACTGGTTGATGGATTGGGGTCCCTAGTTGTTAAGTTAAATTCAAAGGTATCAATAATGACAATGTTCACTTACATGTTTTGCAGGAATCATCAAAAGAAAAGAAATCCAATGAGAAGTTGTCCAATGATTGCTAAATTAATGGACAAGAAGAAGGAATCAAAAATCAGCCGATCCATTCGGCCTCAATCAAGGAAATCAGATTACAAATCAAGGAGCTATTGCCAACAAATATTCGGTATCCTTAATTAAGCTCAATCAAAGGCTTGATTGTCTCGTGAATAAAAGCTGTGACAAGGAAAGTCATGATTGAATCCGGCCCTTCCCAAGAGCAGGATTCGAAGAGGCACCCCTTCGGTCAAATCCTTTTAAATATCTTGTGCCTCTATTTTTGGTCAAGGCTCAACGACTCTTTCCTCTTCTATAAGAAGTTTTCTAAGATCAAAGAAGACTTGCTCAACTACACACATTGTTTTCTAAGTCTCTCTACTTCTTAGCCTAAACATTGTAATCCTTAGTTTGCTAGTGTCTCAAAAGATAGGAAAGTTAGAACACAAAAGTGAGTTGTGTCACTATTCAAAATTCATTATTGTTGTACTTCGTTGGTGGTGAACTAATCAAAACCATCTGTATTGTAATACTTTCAAGATCTAAAGCGAACCCTTGTGACCCAAGGGAAACTGGATGTAAGTACCATACCGGTATCGAACCAATATAAAATCAATGTGTGTCATTTTCTTTCCATTTACTGTTGTCTTACATTCTGCTCTCAATCTAGTCAACTAAATTCATCGTTGGTAGACTAATTTTCAATAGACCACAATTTATCCCCCCCTCCCCCAATTTACTTTCAATTGGTATCAAAGCAAGGCTTACAAACTTTGCTTAACAACTAGTGAGGAAAAGATCATGGGATCAAACACAGTTGTTGGTGCACTATTTTAAGAGGGAACCTCTCAAGTTCGACCACCATACTTCAATGGACATCACTTCTCTCATTGGAAAGTGCGTATGGAAACATACACCATGTTATATGACATCAAAGTCTGGCGGGTGAACAAAAAAGAAAATCTTCCAATTCCCCCAAAGAAAGATGAGAATTGTCAAGTAATAGTATCCACTAATCCACTTGATTTGGATGAATACTCTAATGAGCAAGCTGTTGTCATAACTGTGAATGCCAAAGCAAAAGATTTGTTGTATAATGCTATCAGTGGTGAAGAGTATGCAAAGATCTTTAAGCTGTGAAACTTCTAAGAAAATGTGGGACAAATTGGAAGTCACATATAAAGGGACCAACAAGGTAAAAGAAACGAGGATAAATCTCTTCGTTCATGAGTATGAGCTATTTCAAATGAAGGACGGAGAATCTGCGGAAGATAGGTTCTCCATGTTTAGCAAAATTCTTGGAGATCTCAAATATTTTGGTAGAACAATAAAAAGAGGAGAACAAGTCAGAAAGATTCTTAGAAGTCTACCTACGATTTGGCAGCCAAAGGTCATCGCTATCGAATGTCAGGATCTTGACAAAATGTCTTATGATGAACTCAGAGGTGACTTAATAGATTTTGAGAAAACTCACTTGGATAGACAGATTCAACAAGAAAAGAAAACACAGTTGCCTTCAAAGCAACTGTGGCTGAACCAGAAGATAAAGAAGAAGAGGAAGGAGGAGAATAAATGAAAATATAACCATGCTGTCTCAAGTTGTAACCAGCATGATGAAGAAAAACAGAAATAGCAGAAGAGGTAAACCAAACTTCAAAAAGGGAAGAATAAACAATGAAAATGATGGAAGATGCTATGGATGTGGAAAACACGAACACATTCAAGATGACTTTCCAAAACTAAAGAAGAAGCTGAACAGGAACCTTCAAAGGAAGAAGTCTTTTGGAGCCTGTAGTGATGAAGAAGAGTCTGATCATGAAAAAATTGTCAATGTGTGCTTCATTGCTATAGAAGATTATAGCAATGAAGAATCAGGAGAACGTGGATTCTTGGGAAACAAAGGAGTAGATGAAGGAAAAGACTCAAATCAACTTGGTCTCATGGTAGACGAGGGAACTAGTGAGGTATGCCCTCCCAATTGCTCAAATTGTTATGAACTTCAAGAATTTGTTGATATTGCTCTTGCAGATATTGCAAGAATTCTAAATGAACTCAGAAAAATTCAAAGAAAAAAAGAGTGGACCCTCAAGCTAGAAGTTTGTGAAATTAAATGCGATATGCTACGGGAAGAAGTCAATGAACTTAAACTTCAATTGAATGGATTGTAAAAATCCACTAGTCATAGTTCAGTCAAATCTACTCAGACTGTTCATCACAAACAGAAGAAATTTCATGCATGTTCCTTTTGTGGTAAAAATGAAAATAGTACTAACCAATGCAGGAACAGAATCAAAGTAGAAAAAGACTCCAAAAATTCTAATAGTCCGTCTTGTTTTTATTGTGGTAAAAGGGGTTACACCTCAAATCGCTGTAGGTTCAAGGATGATAGGAGATGGGTCTGGCGACCCAAATCTTCAAATCAAACTAACACTTAACATTCTAACCATTCAGGACCCAAGCCAGCTTGGGTACCTTAAAATCAGTAATTTGGTTTTGTAGGAACACCGCAAGACACTACAACAAATGTGATATTTAGCTACAAAATTTTTAGCCACGACACAAAATTCGTCACTAATTATTCACTTTTCGTGACGAAAATTATGATTCGTGTTTAGATACATAATCCGCATACTTTTAGTGATGAAACATAAAATTTCATAGCAAAAGTTTTGTCCACTAAAGTTTTCCACCAAAAAATAACTTGGCGTCATTATTTAATAGCATTAGCCACGAATTTTATACAATTGGTGACATATTATTTTGTCACTAATGATGTATCCAATTTGTGATAGATAATAATTTGTCTTAAAATTGGTAAAGCTTTGGACACGAAAAAATTTCGTCACAAAAAATGCGTTATTACAATAGTGACAAAATAAAATTTGTAATTAAACATGGTAAACTTTAGCTACAAAAGTTTCTAGTTTATTATGACATTAGTTTTTGTCACTAATAGTGTAAACAATTAGTGACAATTATTTAGTTGTCTCTGTTTAACGTACAATTTAGTCACAACAATTTTTTTGTCACGAAAAAATATGATTTTTAAATGGCTACGACTTGAATTTTGTAGTTGAATAGTACAATTATTGGTGACAAAAAAAGATTCATAGTAAAAAAACTAAAAGATATAGTTTTGTTCATATATGATACAAAAAGTTACTTTAGGGCTAATTAACCTTATGACTGAAGCAACCATCTTGAAAAATTATCAAGTTCGAGAAACTTGAATCCCATTTTATAAAGTTCTATTATGAAGTCTATATCACCTACAAATGAAAGAAATCAAATTAAAACTATACTCATTTTGATTCAATTGCCATATCTAACTTTAGAAAATATAAAACCAAAAAACCATATTAAAATTTAATAGAACCCAAGGAACACTTGCTGATACAAAATTTCATATTATTTAGATAGGAACAGAGAGACCTACATAGGCGGATATTACCTTAAGACATATAACAACAACAACAACAACAACAACAACAACAACCACATAGTGAAGTCCCACTAGTGGGGTCTTGGGAGGGTAGTGTGTACGCAGACTTTACCCCTACCCCGAAGAAATAGAGAGGCTGTTTCCGAAAGACCCCGGCTCAAGAGGTCTGAGGTTCCTAGTAATTTTTAGTAAAAAGAATTACCAGAAAATAGGAATATCCAATTGGTTGTACTAAAGGATCAATTTATAAACATCTCGTGGAAAACTACAATCCCTTTTTGGCAAAAAACAAAGGTAGAGGTCATATTGACTGTAGTAGATGTGCTCATTAGGATCATGACTGGCTTGAAGACTTTCAAGTTTCAAGCAGCTGGAATCATCTAGTTATTTACGTTGCTGTACCATCATGCATCCAAAGACGAACATGTGGTGTTATATACCATGAGAAGGTTGTAGTGGTCATTGAACAATGTGCAGTAGAAAGCTCAGCAGAAAATCGATCTGTTGGTCTGGACAAAATTCCATCATTGACCAGGTTCAACTAAAGCAGGGGTAATTTGTCTTTGAAATCTTAAGAGCCTGATAAGATGGTGCTCTTGAGCATATATGTGGTGGGAAGGGGTATATAGACATGTCAACCGCTGATGCTGATACTTCTTCAAAGATTAGTGAGGTTAAAATTGCATGTGGGAATATTAATTATTGACTTGTTTTACACTAGAGCTGAAGCAGTGTACTATCAGAATCAAGTTTATGATGAATACTGCACATATTAGAACAACAAAGAATTAGTAAGTTGAAGTGAAATACTAATAGTGAATGATTACAGGCCATTACATCAAAGGGTGGTTGTTTTGTTGAAGCTCCAGTTTCAGGGAGCAAAAAGCCAACTGGAGATGGCCAACTAGTAATTCTAGCAGCTGAGGACAAGGTAATATATATACTATTATTTAGCTGTTTAATGGAACAACACTCTTATTATCTTTGGTTTGCTGCACTACATGGAGCTTGTGAAAAGCAACAAGCCTTGGATAAATAGAGGACAGAAAGACCTACACAGGCGGATATTACCTCAAGACATCTATAAATGACCTAATTATTTAAAACCTCTCATTCTCCCTATCGCCAACATAATATATTAAAAAAAGATGCATACCCAGCAGGTTACTGACCTTACTATTATGAGGTTACATCATAAAACCAATGTCGTCATCATCATCTGTGATATCGACTTCATCGTCATTAGTACTATTATTACCTTCATTCCCCTCATTCTCCTCATGATCACTGATGTACTCTACCATTGTTTCATCCTCTTAATCAGAATTTTCTTCGCCATAACCAACTTCATGTTCTGTCTGAGCCTTCAATTCAATTACAACTGCATCTAGGGTAACCGAATCAACATCATCTCTATGTAGTTGACTCAACATATTATCCGTATCATTTACAATTGAATTACTTTCAAGTGAAACATCTTGATATACTTCATCATTTGTTTCGCTATTTCCTGGCTCTGAGTTTTGCATCTCTGGCACATCATATAAGTGTCTATCTTGAAATTTTAGGACAATTCGCCAATTTTCTCCCAATTTCGGATCATCAATATAAAATACTTGCCTTGCTTGAGTAGCTAGTACAAAAGAATCATGTTCATACCAAAATCTATTAACATTGATGCTCGTAAATTTTTTATCTTTTTGCATCCCTGTCTTCTTGCGAAGATCAAACCACTTGCATTTTAAATAGCAGAACTGGATTGCCATTAAGATACTCTAACTCAATCATGTCAGTTATAATATCATAAAAATCAATCACGTCATTTTCGTGATAGCCTTCAACAACTAGACTGCAATTTTGACTTTTATGTAGTTCATCGCGTCTTTGAATATGGTACCTAACACCATTTACAGTACACCCATTATATGTTCTTCCACGCACATCAGGTCCTATTGCCAAAAGATATAACTGATTGATAGACACAGACTTTTCCTTATTATATAATTGCATAATCTACAATGAAAAAATTATTACTTTTAATTAGTAAAGAGGAAAACAAATTAGAATTTAAACACATTAAGATGATTCTTATCTTAAAAAGTTACTTACTTTCCTTTTGAACCATAAAGGAAATTGTTCTCTATGTTTCTCTTCTGTATTCGCAACAGCTTGCTTCATCAACTCTTCTTTATGCTCCTTGTATGCAAAATAAATTACTTATAAATTATGTAAAACAGTAAAATAACAATAGAGAGAAAAATAACATACCGAAGAAAAGGTTCTACTTCTTCGCAATTATTCAACACATACCACCGAGCCATATCGAAATCTTTCTTTGGTATGATATCATAGTTTCCATATCTAAATGGTCTAACACTCTTTGAGAATATGTCCAGAATAACTTCATCTTTGTTACTAGATCCATCATTATTTCGATCTTCACGATTAAATCTAGTTTCGATGCCAGTAAGATACATAGAGCAAAATGTCAAACATTCATCAATAAGATAGCCTTCTGCAATAGAACCTTTTGGTCGTGCCTTGTTTCGGACATAACGCTTAAGCTTGCACAAAAATCTTTCAATTTTGTACATCCAACGATATTGTACTGGTCCCCCATACATAGCCTCTCGTGGTAAATGCACAGCCAAATGTACCATAACATCAAAGAAAGCTGATGGAAAGATCATCTCAAGCTTACACAATATTAAAGTTATATCCTTTTCTAGTTGTTCTAAGTCATCTTTTTCTCAAAGTCTTGCAACATAATCGTTGAAAGAAATCGCCTAACTCAATCAATGCTGAAGAGACATCTTTATGTACAAATCCACGAATAGCAATAGGCAGCAGTCATTGAATTAAAACTTGATGGTCATGACTTTTGAGTCCAGTTATCTTATCATCATCCTCATTTACACGCCGTGAGATATTTGAAGCATAACCATCAGGAAATTTAACTGATTTTAAAAATTTATAGAACTCCTTTTTTTCACTTTTTGACATATTATAACAAGCAGCTGGCATTGTATAACTAGAACCATTATCTTGTAACCATAGTTCTTTTCTTATGTTCATATCCTTAAGATCTTGTCTTGCTTTATATGTGTCCTTAGTTTTCCCTTCAATACTCAGTATTGTCCCCAAAATATTCTCGCAAATGTTCTTTTCTATGTGCATGATATCTAAATTGTGTCGCAACTTCAAGCTCTTCCAATATGGCAACTCAAATAAAATACTTCTCCTCACCCAATTCAACTCTTCAGGAAGACGTTTTCTTTTCTTATTATTAGGGTGTTTTCCTGGTCTATTAGTACTAAGAAAATCCAATTGTTGTAAGACATCATCTCCTGAGAGCTCTTTTGGTTTCAATCTTTTTTCTATCTTACCATCAAAATTTTTGCTTCTTCTCCATGTGTGCTTAGGGTCAAGATACCAGCGATGATCCATGTAACAGATTTTACTTCTTAACTTGTGTGAAGGTGCATTTTTATTGCAAGTAGGACATGCCATGTATCCCTTAGTACTCCATCTAGATAAATTACCTAATCCATATGAAATAATATTTGTGCACATTAGTTTATATTCCTAAAATATACAAAAATTACTTACAAATAGTATACTAGTAAAACTTATACAAAATCTTCTATTTAACAATTATTTAGACATCTTGGACAGTAAGGAGTTTAAGAACTTACCATAAGTTGGAAAATCATTTATGGTCCATATAACAGCAGCATGCATCTTGAAGGACTCCCCTGTTGATGCATCAGATGTATCTACACCTTCACTCCATAACTCATTCAATTCATCAACCGAAGGACGCAAATAAACATCAACATCCTTTCCTAGTGCTTGAGGACCAGGAATAAGCAATGACATTAACATAAATGGACCCTTTAAACATTTCCAAGGATGAAGATTATAAGGAACTAGAATGACTGGCCACATACTATAAGTTGTGCTCATGTTATCAAATGGATTAAAACCATCGGTTACAAGGTCGAGTCTAAAATCCACCGATTTAGTTAATATCTGATCTCTTCTCATACGGAAGGCATATCTTCTATGTAAAGAAGTTATTTTTATTTTATTTATGTTTGAGTTTTTCGAACTCGGAAAGCATTCTGTGTCAGTTCTTCCTCTTCCTTTCTATTTGCTTTTTTTTTGCTTGAGTTCTATGATCCCTGCCTACATTAGAAAGTCAGATATGTGGGATGAGAATTGCTAAAATGGGAGAAACTTATCATTTGTATAAAAAATAGAGAACATGCTTAATGTGTAGTACTTGACTCTTTAAAACTAACCTTGCCTCATATGTGTAAATATTTTCACAACCAGCCACCAAACCTATTCATAAATAAGAAGTTTTAATCTGTTTGTATATGTTATACAGTCATCTAGATATCATGCCCTCCAATTGCCCATGTAAGAAAGTCGCGCTTCTATTAAAGTCAACAAAGATCTGAATCACTGCTCTTTTTCCTTCTTTGTCTGGTTTAAGTTGTCGACAATATGAAATGAACTAGAAAGGCTGCATTTAGGATGTTTGATTGAACTCTTTTTGTATTAAGAATAACTTAGATAGTTAGATGTGTGTTTAGGGTCTTTGGTGGAGTTACATATTCGACTTTGGATCAATGTTTGGACCACAGGAATATGAGAAAGGGTCCCAAGAATCAAGGAGAGTCTGTCGTGAAACATTGAAGCCTATTTAGTTATTTCTAAGTTTGAGATGTAATTTATAGTGAGCAAAGTCATGGTGAATTGGTAATTGAGAGGTGGGGACGTTTCTGTGCAACTTGTTTCTTTCGTATCTCTTTACTTTTCTTTAAATCTTTGTCAGCATGCTTTAGTTAAACTTTTAATTATCAAATATTAGTATCACATCTAGGACCTTAATAACAAGGAAAACCAGTTCTATGTATACGTCATGTATTCTACAACAACTGTTAGTAATAGTATTTTAAGGCTCTTAAAATATATTGAACTTTCTGATATAAAATCTTTATTTGTTTCCTTTCTCTGAGTTTATTTTTGTATAAAAGGGCAGTCAGCATATAAAAATTCTGTCTTGTTGTTAGTTGGGAAGACATAACTACTCTCTATTAGCTGTCTAATGTTACTTGTCACATCAATTTCTGACTCTGCAATGTTATGTCTCACAAAACTCTCAAAAATGGCTGCTTTGATAGGAGTTGGTATAGGTAAAAAGCTTTGGTCCACATACATTCACTACCTTTTGTTGAACCTGTAATCTAATCATGTCAATATGGTTGAGGTTCAATCACCCTACACATTCTTTACTAAGATGATATTTTAGTAATATTTCATATCATTTTCATATTGTGTAGGGTGTGAAAGAACATGAAGGAGTAGAGCCAAATAGGATTGAGTTCTACAAAAGTACCTATTACTCGAGTGAAAAAGGATGGTCATCTCCAGAGGTTGAGACTAACTACGTAAGTAATATTTTAGTAATATGTCACATGTATTCATTCTATTTTATAATTAATTTAACTGATGTAATATTATTATGTAGAACAAAATGAGAGATTTGAGAGCTCGGTCTATTTCTGAAGAGAATCCAATGACTATTGATGAAATTGTTGATAATATACTTGGTACAAGGTCGGGATATATTAAAGGCATTGGCTATGGTCCAAAGCCTAATACAACTACAACAACAAAAAGAAGGACAACAGAATTAGAGGATGCTTTTAGGAGGGCAAAAGAGGATGCTGCTACTGCCCAACATGGTTTACAAGAACGTTTGAATGTAGCTGAAACTGAGGTAGCAAATTAGCAGATACAGATAAAAACATTAACTTCTGAGCTGGGTACTCTAAGGGCATGCCAAGAGGAAATATTAAACCAAATGAAGCGTCATTTTATTGGCTCATCACCATCAAGGTTAAAAGTACTACATCTTTAAATGATAAATTCAATTATAATTCTTTTAGCATCTAGGTTCGAATATTTTTTTTAATGATACAACGAAGATTGAGCCCCACCAGATTATCAACTTTGGGTACACTAAACTTCACACTATTTAATTTTTTTCTCATTTTTATTTATTTGTATCACAATTCAATTATTTGTTTCACCAGTCG